TTACTGTATGAACTTTTGTTACCCTTTGCTGTCTGCTAGACTATTCACATTAACTATCACATTCATTGTACATGTTGCAAGGAATGCATGCAACGTCAGTTTTGGCTAAGAGTATGACGTGAAAGCATTCCTTGGGTTCTACATAAAACTACCAGGATTAAACAGTCTAATGGCAATCACTGGTAGACTGCTTAACTTAATAACATCTTCTTCAGATGTGTAGGGAGGGGAAGTTGGCAGACGGAGGGGACTGGGGTAAGGGAGACTAATGCTATTCCAATTGAATGAGCTGCAGAAATGGAAGCTCCTTAGGATCCAGATGGCACTTGTCTGTCTTTTTATAAGGGTTTTCCTTCAAGTGAAACTACCACATTGCCTCCCAGTTTCTCTCCAAGTGTTGAACGGTCCTTAATATCATCCAAACCATTTACTTGCCACTCGTGTTTAATACCTGAAAAACAAAAGAACAAAGATGCATTTGCTCAGTACCTTAACATCAAGAAGATATTTCAATTGTTTTGTGGATTATTTGAAGTCTGTACCTGTAAATTTCTTTTTAATGGCATCTTTAGAGCTCGCGTAGATCATCTTGCTTTTTAAAGGTGCACTTTCCGGAGCCCTATAAAAGGAAATAAAGTAGTTATTCAGCTACCCATAATTAGGCAGGAAGTCAAGAATATCTGGTTTAAAGACAGCAAACTTTGATTTTACACACCAGAATATAAATACCAGATCTTCTTTCTTAGACTCCTTTGTCTCGTATGTGGCATCATACAAAGCATATCGGCAATCATTCAAAGGTAGTAACTTGACAAAGGATGTATAGGGGTCCTCCACAGTATCTCCAATATCGCCAACCAATATCTGCTTTGATTCCTCCACAATGATTTGTTTCTTGTCATCGCTTAAGCAAAAGAGAACAGCTTTCTTTCTTTTTTTGATCTCTTCTGGGGTTGATGATTTCCTTACTTTCATGTCATTAAAAACCTTTATGACTTCATCATTCACTGTCACTCCAGAAGCCTGCAAAATGAGACGAAAGGCATAATTTAGCCTCAATACAAAGCGCTCACCAGAAGACTGCACAGTTGCCTGTACTAAAAGTTTACTTTGCAAACTATGAGCAAAATTCTAGCGTTCTAGAAACCGGAGGGATACAACAAAAGGCAAAAATTGGGCCCTGAGTTATTCATTTGTGATCCCAGTAGGATCCTCTTACATAAAACTGATCAGTCAAACCAGACCAAAGATCCAATCCAGATGTCAAGCGGCGACCTACGGACCTAGGGGCCTCACTCAACCAGATACAGGGGCAGGCGATTCTGGTTTTTTTCCTGCCGTGGAACAAATGTGGCAGTGCCAGCGGTGCCTCCCCGGCCCTGTCATGCATCTAGTTTTGCTGGGTGATGTCAGGCTGTAGCAGCAACACAAATGTTTTCTGCCTTGTGTCAGCCTAGCTTCAAAACGCGGGATTTGGCTTCATGCTACTGCCCTCGGGAACAATAACGGAGGAGAAAAAACCCTCCCAGCCGGTGCTGGGTAGCGGGCAGCGCGGTGGTGGGGGGGGCTGCCTCTCCCGGTCCGGATCGGCTCAGAGCCGCGGCGCTGCCACGAAGAGCCGGGAAACGGCTACCTCCTCGGCCGCGGCCGCGGCCGCGTTGTCAGGGGCCGGGGCCGGGGCCGGGCCGAGCACTCCCCGCCCGGGCCCACGAGCCTCCGCCGCACAAAGGAGCCGGCCCGGCAG